TGAATTTCTTGCCAAGGATTTTAGATATTATCTTGAAGCCAGTGTTAGTACCTTGGAAGAGATGATTAATATTTGAACTTGAGTAAGATACCACCTGTTTGAAGAATGCAGGGAAATTAGTTATGAGGTTCTGACAGGAGTTCAAGCACCATGATGAGGGACAAACAGGCAGGGGTGGGAGGGACATGAAACTAGAGTAGTGAAGAAGCAGAATCTGTAAGGACTTCATCCATAGTGGATATGGTGGGGGCCATGACCAGGATGCTAAGGGAGAGTCCAGCTGTAATATAAGAGTTCATAGTTTTTGTGTGACAGCATGGATGCTAACAGGTGAATACAGGAAGAGCACGCCTGGAAGACAAGATTAGGTAATCAATTTAGGGCATTTAAAGGTTAGGATCTCCAGTCCTTGTGTTGGCGCTTTGTTACAAATATTATTCAAAAGAGTAGGGATTTATCCTTATTTTATAAAGAGAAATGGAATGGTCAGAGGGCTTAAGGAACTTTCTTGAGGTTAGACCAGATGTGTGCTACCATACCCCCTTTCTTAACATTTTTGTCAGTCTTAATGGGAGCACAGCTTCACAGGAAGGAGTGTGGTCCAGTTTCATGACCTTAACTCTCCCTGAAAAGGCTGAGTTCCTCTTTTCCCATAGACCTTGGCTTAAAAGAAAACCTTCAGAAATCATGTTCTACCTTCAGTTTAATTTGTTGTGCATGTCCTGGGACAGATAGAGTTTATATTTCTATAATGTGCAAGTCTCCAATTTAAGAAAATAAGTGGTATACATAGACTGATATTTTCATACTCTTGCTTCACAGCATCCCTGGAAAGTAGAAGTGAGATTTCACCCTAGTATTACAAAAGGGACAAATAAAATTAGAAGTGACTTTCTATTCAGTTGTAAAGATAAAAGCAGAAATAGACTCCAAATTCACTAATTACAGTGCTCTTTTCACCAGATTCACAATACTGTAGTTACATTTCCTAAGTGATCCCTTAAAAGCAAATAAATACTGCCCTGGTCAGGTGGCTCAGTTGGTTGGAGCATCTTCCCATACACCAAAAGGTTTTGGGTTCGATTCCAGTCAGGGCACATACCTAGGTTGTGGGTTCAGTCCCCATTTGGGACATATATGGGAGGCAATCAATCAATGTTTCTCTCAATAAAAACATCCTCTGGTGAAGAATTAAAAAAAAAGTATCCTTGCTGGTTTGGCCCAGTGGATGGAGCATTGGCCTGTGGACTGAAGGGTCTTGGGCTCGAATCTGGTCAAGGGCACATGCCTGGGTTGGGGGGCATGCAGGAGGCAGCCGATCAATGATTCTCATCATTGATGTTTCCATCTCTCCTTTCCCTTCAATAAAAAAAGTACATATATATTTTAAAGAGCAAATAAATACCACCTCTTCGACCATTACAATTTTCTTATCCACTGGAATTGCTCTTAATCTAGAACTGGGAGGCCTAGTATTTCTTTGCACTACCAAAATGGGAGGACGTAGTATTTTTTATATATATGCTATCTAAAACTCACAGACTTGGATTTGTGATTTAAAAAATAAAAATTTTAGAGAGGGAAGGAGATAGAGAGAGAAAGGGGAACATTGATGTGAGAGAGAAACATTGATGTGAGAAACATCCATTGATTGTCTCCCACATGCGCCCAGACCCAGTGATCAAACCACCACCTTTTGGTGTATGAGACCACACTCCAAACAACTGAGCCACACTGGCCAGGGTGGATTTGTAATTAAAAAAAAAAAAAAATTATATCTAGCCCTGGCCAGTGTGGCTCAGTTGGTTGGGCACTGTGGTTCCGTGCACTGAGAGGTTACTGATTCAATTCCTAGTCAGGGCTCCGTCCTATTGTGGGGTGGGCAGGATGCAGCCCATCCATATTTCTCTCTTCTTCCTTCCTCTCTCTAACCACCCCCCCACCCCCGCCAAAAAAACAACCCCAAAACAAAACAATAAACTGTTCTTTAAAAAGGAAAGTTTTGAAACCTATGCTGTTTCAGCTGAAGACTTATTTCTGAGTTTGACCCTCTTTCCTGTAGGATGAGTTCTGGGCTCTTCTGCAAAGTGTGGGTTCCATAGGCAGCCACAGTTATACATACTTTACCACATAATTTTTCAAGGACTGGGTACATGTTTGGAGAGGCTGTTGGTAACAAGTGGGGTTCACCACCCTGTCTAACTTTGCCTCCAGGGAAACTTAAATTTGTCCCTGAAAAGAGAATAAATAAATTGAGAACCACTGATGCTGGGATGTGGGTTGGTATCTAGGCGCAGGTAAGAGGGAACAATAGTGTTTGATTGCCCCTTGGCTTTCCTTAAGCTCTGACGAAACATGCCTTCTTGTTGAATACCGCAACCAAGTGGCCTAGCAGCCTGAGAATACACAACACAGCAGTCCTGTTTGACCCTTTGTGCAGTGTTGCTCCAGTTACACTGTTGGTGTTTATTGGATCTTGTACTTATATGTGATTAAGGATAGCATACCATTGACTAAAATGATGTCAAGGGTAGCATTGTCAATTACAGCAATTCAAGGTTGCTCATAGCTTTTGATCGGTGTTTATTTCTCTTCCTTTCCCATCATCCTGTCATTTAAAGGTCAACCCTAAAGAAATGAGTCTCCTTCACTTCAAGTTGTCTTTGGTTGCTTGGTTCCTTTTGTCTTTTTGTTCACCGCAGCTTCCTTCCCACTTGACAAATCTTTTGCTTGTCTCTTCTCAGCAGTTTCCTTCCCATTCTGCTCTCTGTCTATTCTGGTCTTACTAGTCTATTCTGTATTCTCTCCTGCCCAATATACTTCCTAATGTGTATCTCTTCATCTGTGGGTCTTTGAGGAAGTTGGTTTGAGCCTTTTCAGGTTCCTCTTTAGTTAAGTCAAGGTGTGATGGTAGCTTAAGGGTTTGGGGCATGGTACTCTTGAATTTAAAAAAAGCAGTATTAAAAAAAAAAGCAATATAGAAAGGGAGTAAAGTGAAAGTAAACTTCCTTCATTCTTGCACCCCTCAGAGGCAACCACTAGCTACCAGTTTTTAAAAATCCATTTTTAAATGTCAGGTTTTTAAAGTTTGAGATCTCATTTTTTTTAAAAAACGCCATGGGATTATACTTTATAACTATGGTTCAACTTGCTTATTGCACAGGACAAAATATCTTGGCTAGTTCCCTCCCTGCACATGTTGTAGATGTGTACTGCATTCTTTTTAAGGGCTGAACATTTATAAGAGATCATCTTTGAGCTTAGAGTTATTTATCACAAGACTTTTCCTTGAATAATATCCCTTCAATATTGGCTATTGCTGTGAAGATTCCTTTTCTTTCCCATTTATGTTATATTCCACTCAGTAAACTCACCTTATGTGTGTTGCATTAAATGTAAAATACGACATTGACCCTGATCTTTGGCTTCATGATCTCATTAGATTTGTTTCAAATTGTCTCTTTTGTATCTTTGTAGTCACCACACCTTTTCCTGTCTCAACACTAAGGTTACATTCCCCATCGTTTCATTAAGTTGATCATTAGATGTTTATGAAATTACAGCTTTAAAGTGGAAGAAATCTCAACGAATCAATCAAAACATGTTTCAAATTAATTGTTATGTTTTAAAAATTCACTTTTGTCAATATAAGGTGTTTTCTGACTTAGCTATTAAATGTAATCTTTTTAACTTTGGGAGATTGAACTAAATTGGACAGAATAGCAATTTTAGTGTGGCTGATTTGTCTTTAACTGTTATAGTATTGTAAAATTCTGTGGCTCTTTGGATGACAGTAGCCAAAAAAAAAAAAAAAGTCAATGAAAGTTCTTCAAAAAACATGAAGAACATTATACAAATGACAGTTTTTCAAAAACGTTAATTGAGTATCTACTGACTGGCACTATTCTAGATGCTGAGGTTACAAAGATGAATAAAGACAGAAGAATTCCTAGCCCGGTCTATTTTTATTTTTAAACACAAGCTTATTGAGAAATAATTCACATACCATAACATAAAATTTACTCTAAAAGAGTACAATTCAGTGGCTTTTAGTATGTTTACAGAATTTTGTACCCATCATCACTATCTGAATTTTAGAAGACAAATGACAGTTTTTAATCAGCATTTTTAAGTCTTTCCTTATTTTTGGCTTTATCTCAAAGCTTAATTTTCTTCTGCTTTCCCTAAGCACACACATAAGGGTGAGATTGTATGGGGTCCACTCTCATGTGTAACTGTTCATCAATTAGGAAGCAGATGGTGTTAGCTTTCTTCTATTACTGGTAAAACATAGGGTTGAGTGACGTGATGCTGTGAGAAAGATGCAAAAGTCATGAGTAAGTTTAGTAGCTGACAGTGCCATTTGAACAAATAAAATAGATTGTTCTGGAGGAATCATTTAATATTGCATAAATGCAGGACTAGGAAAGAAGTATTCTAAAGAACTATAGGTTTGTTGAAATAACAGACATCCCAAATTTACAATCAAGTTGTACCACACCCACCTTCTCTCTCTCTATCTATCTATCTATCTATCTAATCTGTCGGGTGTGTGCATACATACACAGACACACACAAAGTAACTTGGTTTCAGAGCCATTTTGTGTGCTTGGTTTCCTTCCACAGATCAGGTAGGTGGTTTTTTTTTTGTTTTGTTTTTAATTTTTAAAAAAGCTTTAGTGCATCTATAGATTTTGTGAAAAATTTTTCATTTAATCTCTGGGCTCCCTAACGCTCACAGTGGTTAAAGCCAACCATTACTTAGTGGGGTTGCTGTAAACAAAGCCCGAAGTGAAACCCCAGTGTATTCGCTGCAGATTCCCAGGTGCCTCTCAAGTACTAAAATAAGCTCAGAAAAGTTTTAATGGGTTTATTAAATAATCATCCTTTAAAAGGTCCTTGCACTACTTGTCTGTTGTATTAGGACATGTGTCTGGCACTTTTGCTGAATTTAGCACTTCCTAGAAGAGGGTGAACCCTAAGATTTAGATTCCCCTCAGATATTTAGACAGAAGAATTTTTGTCAGTAAAAACCTAAGGTCACAGAGCTGCATAAAGGTTTACCAATCAGAAGACATCAAGCTATTTTATGTTCCCGGATGTCTTAAGAAAAAGACTTTTCAAACTGAAGAATGAAATATCTTGCAGGGGGGAACCGTTGGGCACGTTTTGTGGAGATCCCCCTGACAAAAGGAATCATTGGAAATGAACACACCGATTCATCGTAGTAGATGATGAAAAGGAAACCTCAGTGCTTCCTCCGTCTAGAAGGCTAGAGCCCGTGCATTCCTTAGCAGCTTGTCAGCCTGATGACTGGCTTCTTGGTCAGATCCAGCCTCGGTGAAGGTAGTTCACATATTGGAGATGATCTGAATGCTGTACAGTTTTGATGGCATGTTTATTTGTGGGAGGACGGGATTGTGAGGGTAGAGATAGGAATCTGTCTTTTGTAGTAGGATTTGGTCTGTGTGTTAATGGAATGAACTGGCCTTTCTGCTGGACTTCCTTTGTCCTTGCTGAGAAGGGAGGCTGAAGTTTCCTAGGGCTATTGATGGAGCTGGCAACCGTAAGAGGAACTGTGGACTTTTGACCTTCTTGGTGGTAATGGAGGGTTAGGGGACTTTGAGAGCCCACAGGTTGGTGTGAGGATCAGAGAGTTGTGTTTCATTTTTGCTGCAAAACAGGAATATGCAAGTTAAAGCATTAACTTACACTTTCTTAGCACTTTTTAAAACATTTCTATGATCCTGTGTCATTTGACATTGTTTTTTTTCCCCAAAGCAATGGTTTTCTTCAGGAGGGCATTTTCTTTTCATTTATCATGAAGCCTGGTTGTTAGTTTGAAGAAAAATATCTGCCTTATTTCACAGGCCTCACTACACCTTTTTCCTGCTGTGTATAGAGCACCTTCCTCATTTTTTTCCTCAAAAAAAAAATAAAATTCCAAAGTATTTCATTTAACAACTATTTACTTAATCAGTTAAGAATATTTTGTTTTCTTTTTTTAACAATTCTTAAATTGAAGTAACTGTTTAGACTTACTGAAATGACTCAGGGGCCTTCTGCCCCATCCCATCTCCCTTCCATCCCTGTGTCCCTCACCAACAAAAACATTAATGAACTTCTGATGAACAGTAGTCTCTGCTTAAAAGGAAAGCTCCAGTGTTGAGCTAATGAATTGCTAATAAAATATTTTCTTAGTCTCTGTCTGTATTTCAGAACTCCTCAATTTCATGCACACACAAACAAAATGCCTGGATATTTGGTTATTTCTCTGAATCACTTCCATAAATATTTGCTCTGGTATAGTAACCAGGATTGGAATGGAATGGGGTCAGGCAAGAGATTATTCAAACACAAATACTGAAGTTTTTGTTTTACACATACATTTTAAAAAGAACTTTAAAAGGAGGATTGTGTTCTGTGGTTATAAGTCTCAAAACTATGGGCACAATCTCTCTTACTGATACTTTATTTTATATGATGCTTTTGTGATAATTTGTAATTGGTCTCTTACACACACCCACACCCTCTGGACTTGTCCATTGGGGTTTAGTTCCTATATTCATTGCCTTTTCATCACCTCTTTTCGTCCAGATGTTCTGGTAAAGCTGGCCCTTGGTTTGGATATTTTAAATTACTTCTAAGTTGCACATTTACTACTGTCGGCTACATTTTTGCTGTATCTAGCCCTAGAGCTATTTCTTCCTTTCTTGCTTGATGTTAAGATTTTTTTGATCATCGGAATCACAATTTCTATGACTCTACATTTCTTGAACACCTGCCCAGTCCCACTGTTACTGTGCTCAGGCACAGAGCCTGGTAAAAGCTCGAAAAACCTCTGTAACAACTGTGAGGCAGACCAATGAGCTTATTCTTAATTCATCTTCATGATCTATGAAATTATTGCTCTTATAGTCCAACCCTGGATTTTTGTGAATTTTACATCCTCCTTTCTGTAGTTTCAATTCAGGGCCCACTTGCCTGTTTAGGACTTCCCATTTGTCATAGAAGAAATCCCCTCTCGTCTCCCATAGGGCAGAAGTTGTGTGTGTTGATGCGTTACTTGTATGCTTAGGATCAAATAATTAGTGGTCATGGTAAATACTCAAAACTTCCCCAGAGGGGAATCACACGAATGCAGAGGTGCAAAATAAAGGGTGGTGCCTTAGCTTAAATGTTAAGGCACACCCTTCCTTGCGTATGATTCCATCGTTTTTATAGGATTGCGGACAGAGGTGTATATTCTACTTAAAACTTGATTTTTAAAAAAATGCCTCCCATCCCCTATTTTTAGAATGAGTGTTTGCCAGGAAGGTAGGAGTAGATGGTAGAGGCCTTGTTAAATAGCTGAGCTGTTCTGTGTGTTTTATACCCTTGTCATGCTAGTGCCAAGAATGGAGGAAGATGCTAGAGGTCTTCCCCAGAGCCCCGCTTTCTGGCCTGGCTGTGTAATACCAAGTTGCTGGGGGTGGGGTGGAGCAGAGAGCTCTCTCTCCTTTAGTGGTTTCTTGTTAATAGCCCTCAACCAAGCTGTGTCAATTCCCTTGGCTTTACAGACTATTGCCTAGAAGAAAAGATGTTTGGTTTTCACAAGCCAAAGATGTACCGAAGTATAGAAGGCTGCTGTATTTGCAGAGCTAAGTCCTCCAGTTCTCGATTCACGGACAGTAAACGCTATGAGAAGGATTTCCAGAGCTGTTTTGGGTAAGATCATCGGATGATTGTACCATTCTTAGCGTGAAATAGGTCACAGCATACAGAAATATTTCCCAGCAAGGCATTGGATTAATGTGGCTAATATTTAAAATCACTTATGTTCTAACCTAGGCTGTTTTAAGGCCCTTGCTCTTAAAGGCAATCTAACATACTGACAGCCTACCTTTTTTCAGATTGTGAGGAACTACCGAATTAATTGGAACCAACTTCAAAGTTGTAACTAAACAAAACCTTTCTGTTCATTAATTTCAGTATGTATAAAGAGATTTAAAAAATTACCCTTATTTTCTCTTATAATTGCTATCCTCCAGTAGTTTTCTGTCATTTATATTGTTTTTCTAAATTATAGGAATATATTTTAACCTAACCTGCTGAGGATAGTAATAAGACTTAATGTTCTGCCCTGAAACCTGTCAGGGTATGTTAGCATTTATTTTATATAAATTTTCTTCATTATCTTTTGACAATAATTCACTGCTTAATGAAGTAGAATTTACTTTCCAACAAACCCTTGGATGAAATAAAATACATAATGTTGAACTAGTTCCCATGTTAGAAATTAATTTCACCACTTTGTTTTTCTTATCAAAACATTTGTTGATTATTTATTATTAATCCTAGACTTTGTATTTATTTTCAGGGTTGTCAAAAGAGTCCATTGACCTTGCCTTTTTAAATTACATTTTCCTCCTAATGTCTTCATTTCCAATTGTGTACATAATAAATATTATCAGTATTTTTCTGATGTATTTAATTCAGGATAAATGTAATAAATGAAAGCTCCTCAGAGATGTAACAACTTGGTGACTAGTTTCATAGATTTTTTTCCCCTTATGCAGACATAATAACTTTTTTTTTGTCTAAGACATTTTTTTATTGCTTAAAATATTACAGAGCAGTACATTTGTCTCCTTTTTTTCCCCTTGACCTTCCCCCAGCCTCCCCTACCCCCCAGTGTCTTGTGTCCATTGTACATAATAACTTTTTAAAAATTACAGTGCCTCTGGTTTTGTTTGTTGTGAAACTAGAATACCATCACACATTTTTTCCCCTTTATTATTATTACTTTTTTTCCTTCCTTTAATTCTCTCCCAAGGACATGTTTTTTATTGATTTTGAGAGAGAGAGCGAGAGAGAGAAAGAGAGAGAGAGAGAGAGAGAGAGAGAGAGAGAAACATCTATCGGTTGCTTTCTGCACTCGCCCCAACCCACATGCGAACCGAAACCTAGGCACATGCCCTGACTGGAATTCAGCCTGCAACCTTCTGGTGAATGGGACAATGCTTCAACCAACCGAGCCACCCGGCCAGGACCATCACATGTTATTTTAAAGGATGGCATTTTGTTGCTTATGAAACATCTATACATATTTCAAGAAAGATTAATTGTTTAAAACTCTGGTGACCAGGATCTCTTCTAGGTCTAAATTTTACTATTATTAAATTTTAAAACATTATTTTGCAGCGTATAAAAATTTGGTTCATTGGATCTGGAAGTTAATTATATTTCCTAAATATACTACAGAAACAATGGAATTGGATCATCCCGGGTGATTAGAAATAGCATCTATGAACTTTTTTTCTAAAAGGAATGTACTTGCTTGAATTTTTTTAATGTAAAGGAGACCAATAAAGGCTTGGTTGTTTTCTTATCAGGTTGCATGAGACACGTTCAGGAGACATCTGTAATGCCTGTGTCCTGCTTGTGAAAAGATGGAAGAAATTGCCAGCAGGATCCAAAAAAAACTGGAATCACGTTAGTGCATCTGTCATCTTTCTCAATTATACCTGTTATATTTAAAGTAACATTAGTTTTCCCCCTATGTAGGAAGTAATAATGCTCCTAGGATGGAAAAATATGAAAAGAATAAAGAAAAACAGTTGCCACTTAGATAAAATTGCTTTACATTTTGTCTGTTTGGAAGCAAAATAGCTTGGTGTGGCATTTCCCTAAGGCTGTATCCACTACCCCCAGAAATTCACAATGTACATTTCACATATTTTTAGGTTTAACCCAGAAATTCCTAGAGTTAATCAGATGAGCCTTTTTTTTCATCTCTCAGGATGACATTTATCCTAACTCCTGTTGGTACTAATGAGCCTGTAGGTTTTCAATCAGGCCTGGATTTATCACCTCCTAGCTGTGAATTTTGTGCGAGTTACATTTACTTGTAGAGCGTAAAGATAATAGCTGTCTCAGAGCGGTTGTGAGAACTGAATGAGACCAAGTGTAACACAGTAATCATTCAATTAGATGAAAGCTGTTGTTACTCTCTGTGTTTAAATCTAGTTGAGATCAAACTGGTGTATAAATGTGTGTTCTTCTGACCTTTCACTTTATAATTTCACTAGAATTCTTCATAAGATATATTTGACCAGAACAGCACTGAGTCTTAGTTAATTCTTCTGTTTGCTAGCTTTCAGAAGATTTATGACATTTATACAACTTATTTGTTTTTAAGCGGGCAGTCATTTATTCTTTACCTTTTTCCCTATACTTGCTTTACACTATCCTTTGGTGACTTACATTATAATGGTAGGTTTCTGAGGGTCTGTTAACTTATTTAAAAAAAGGGGTTTTTCTTTAATGCCTCATCTGGAGGAGATCCAAATTTTGATTTCGAAGGTGATGGCAACCTTTCATCATAAGGGTAGAAATCTGCAACTAGTAAATATGAGTGAGTGCATGAGAAATGGGACCATACGAGCTGAACCCGTGTCCATGCTAGATGGGGGAGAACGTGCCATTGCCGTCATTTAACTGACCTCAGGGATTAAGGGTGGGTAGTGAAAAGAGTTTACAACATGGGTCTGAACACCTTGATTTGAGTCTTGTCCCCCTCCCACTCACCCTGCCCTTTTCACTAGCCTAGTGAAATAAAGCGAAGTAAATAATTTAATTTCTCTTGTTTTCCTTCACTCTAAAATTGGAGTAACAAAAATATCCCCCTTACTGCTTTGTGGTGAAGGTAAAATCAAAAGTATATGAAAGCTTTTTATAAACTACAAAACATCCTATAGAAATGATAGTTGTTAGATTTGATTTTTCTTAACCTCCATGGGCCATTCTCACCATATATAAATCTACTTAAAGTCTTTGTCCAGCAGACTCCTACTATTACCTACTTAAAAAACAAGCAAACAAACCCCCACTATATAAACTATTCTTTATTTTTCCTTGATGTGCTGTAATTTTTGTTTATTTTTAAAATGTTACTTTTCAATTACAGTTTTCATTCAATATTATTTTATATTAATTTCAGGTGTACAGCATAATGGTTAGAGGTAAACTATTTTTAAATTTCATGTAATGATTAAAAAAAGGTTCACACGGACTCTCAAATACTCTAATAGAAAACTGTGGTTCTGAAATTGGGCTCCTTCAAATAGGCATTTGTCTGAACCAAAGGAATACAGAGGTGTCATTTTTAAAATGGTATTAAATATTCAGTATTTTCTTCCAGGTGGTAGATGCAAGGGCAGGACCCAGCCTGAAGACTACACTGAAACCAAAGAAAGTGAAAACTCTATCTGGAAACAGGATAAAAAGCAACCAGATCAGCAAACTACAGAAGGAATTTAAACGTCATAGTAAGTTTGAAACTGAAACACAAGTACTCAAGAATAGTTGTTTCATATTTTTGCCCAGAGGTGGCATATGCTATATATGGATCATTTTTTTTCTTTTATTGCTTTTTTAAAAAAAGAGTGTTGGAAGGGGATTGTTGACTTGGTAGAGATATCATCTCTATGGAATCTTGGAACACTGTCCTTGATTTTGATGTCATGAAAATTCTTCCACAAACCAGCCACTTCTTCATATTGTGCTGAGGCCACTTTGCTCTCTTTACTGACATCTTAATTTTCTAGAAGATACATTTTTCAAGCTTGTTTACCTGATATTTTATGCATAAGGATATTGAGGCCTGAATATGTGTAGAAGGGAACATAAATAATTAGTGGATGATCAGAGACCAAAGCCCAGGAAAGTAACAGTAGAAATCATAACTCACCTAATGCAGTGAACTCAGCCTCAGTACTTTGGAATTTAGGAGAGTGTGTGTATTGTGTATAGTGATGGAAGGGCAAAGGAATGACAAATTAATACGCAGTTCATAAACTCGTATAGGAAGTCATTGTTGCACGTAGGGCACCTGTAGTGGTACTTCTGTATGCAGGAATTTAGATTTAAGATTTTGAAAAGGAAATGCAGGGCATATAATGTTATTATGTGACATTTGTATCATCTCCCCTAGCGGGGGAAGATCTGAGGCAGTGCTGTCAAATCAAACACATTTGTGTTTCTGCAGTGAAACGGTATTCACATAGATGGAATAGATATTCACACAGTGTTCATGTAACTGGAATCAATAAACTGTACTATAAATAGGTTAGTCAGGTTTGGCTCCTTAATTATAGTTCAGGTCAAGCCAGATATAGTGACCACATGGGTTAGGAATACACTCTCCATTTTCAAAGCTTTTTCAGAATTGTAGATATGGGTTGTGGGTCAGTATTAGAGTTTTCAGGATTAAAAAAAATCTATAGACAAAATGTTATCAATCAATGCTTGTTTTGAAACAATGGAAAAACACAGTTAAATCTACTGATCTAGGTAGACTGAGAAAGGAAGGATCGCTGTCATCTCATGAGCACTTTGGTATATCTACCCAGCACTTCACATACATAGTTATCGCCATGATTTCTGTGATAGAGATTAGCACTGGAGTGGTAATTTAACTCCTAGAGTGCCGGGGAGCGCGATCGCGCTCCTATCTTTCGCCAAAAGTGCCGGGAGCACTATCAAAGCTTCGAAATGGCGTCCAGATCTAAGTCTGCTTTTATTAGTGATGATGATATTGCTAAATATGCCAATGTAGTAAAGGTTTCCTTAAGTTTTTGAATATGTAACTTCATTTACTTGCGATTCATAATTTTTTTCCTAAACTGCTGTAAAATCAGCAAAAATGCCTTGGCAATTTTAGCATAGTTCCTAGGATATTGGTTGGCACTCAAAGGGTTAACCTTGACCCAGGTCACTTAGTAAGTGGTAGAGATGAATTTGACCTCCTGTTTGTCTAACTTTAAAGCCTCGTGCTCTTTCTATACCATCCTGCTGTCTGGTCTGGGGCACTATAACCAATATCTCAGAACTCCAAAGTCTTTCCAGATCTGCTGCTAACTTTGTGCTCTTGGGTAAGTAGGTGTTACCAGTCCTTAGTTATTCTGATGGTTTACAGAGTTGGGCAAAATTAGGTTTACAGATGTGAGATGCGAGACAGTTTATTCTTGTATTAGTATTTATTAATTTTGTATTTTCTTTTTCCAATCTATAATAAAATATATTGGGGTGCTATTAGAGAAGTCTGAAGAGGCTTCCTAGGGAAGGGTGACACTGAAAAACACTGAAATTAGAAGTAAATCTTTTAGTCACATGCATTTCCTGTCATCACCATCATTATGCTCTGTCAAAATGTCCTGTTGGAGTTTTCATAAGAACAGCATAATAAATGTCTCTAGGTCAATACTCCAGAATAATTAAGATTAAGAAACTTATGATCAGCGGTAAACACAAATTTAATTATGGTATCTAAGAGACTTATCCTTTGAAACTGGCACCAACTTAGGGAAATCAACATTTATCCAATCATACAAATACAATTTTAACATCTTTATTAAGAATTACATAGCCCTGGCCGGTGTGGATCAGTTGGTTGGGAGTTGTCCTGTGCACTGAAGGGTTGCTGGTTTGATTCCTGGTCAGGGCACATGCCCAGGATGCCGCTTGATGATCCCTTCCGGTGGGGGGCCTATACAGGGTGTTCTGCCCTCATATTGATGTTTCTCCCTCTCCCTTCCTCTCTCTCTAAAAATCAATTTAAAAAATTTTATATTTGAGACCATAGGTTGGCATTGGCAAATGAATTCCAAAATTACCACTTAAAATTCTAACTGAACATCTCCAGTCTTTTCAGAAAGCATTTCCTTTCTTTATACTGTCACAGGTGACTTAGCCATTTATAATAATATTGTGGTAAGTAAACACTACCTTGTCATTATGAAGAAAAAAACTATGATCAGACAAAGATCATAATGTAGTTCTGGAAGACTATACATTCTTTCACTAAAAACAGTATATAACAGAACAGGGTACTCTTTGAATGGCAGTAACATGCAATGATTTGGTTCTAGAAATGTTCATTTAGTTTCTGCTACATTAGAAGTCTGTGTAGGTGTTCACAGTTTGGGAGCTAGGACGAAAAGAGCAATTATTTCTTGCTTACGTAGTAGAGACGCCTCAATATATAACATATATGTATGTATGTGTTACCACTGGACATTAACATGGAATTTAGAAAAAAATAAAGAAGACTGACCTATATAACCTAAGTATAAGGATGGACTTTATTTTTATTTCTTTGGACTTTATTTTTTTTTAAAGTCTTTTGAGGACTACAAATTACAAAGTAAAAGCAGACTGCTACCTAGAAACCTGGTGAATACATTTTGCCTGTGCATGAAAACTTTATCAATGTTATCCATTTAACAATTTCACCCATTCACAATGATTTGTATCAGTAATAATGCTCTCCTTCATAAGGCTACTATACACCTTTATTTCAAATTATACAACACACTAGAAGCCTGGTGCACGAAATTCATGCATGGGTGGTGGTGGGGGGGGTTGTCCCTCAGCCCAGCCTGCACCCTCTCCAGTCTGGGGCCCCTTGGGGATGTCTTACTGCCAGTTTAGGCCCGATCCTCCTCTCTCAACAATCCGGGACTGCTGGCTCCCAACCGCTCACCTGCCTGTCTGCCTGATTGCCCCTAACCACTTCTGCCTGCCAGCCTAATCACCCCCTAACCACTCCCCTGCCAGCCTGATTGATGCCTAACTGCTCCCCTGCCGGCCCGGTTGCCTCCAACTGCCCTGCCCTGAAGGCCCAGTCGCCCCCAACTTCCCTCCACTGCCAGCCTGGTCACCCCTTACTGCCCTCCCCTGCTGGCCTGGTTCCCCCCAACTGCCTTCCCTCCCCTGCCGGCCTGGTCACCCCTAACTGCTCTCCCTTGCTGGCTCGGTCCCCCTCCAACTGCCCTCCCTCTCCTGCTGGCCATCTTGTGTGAGGGTGTGACAGTCAACTTGCATATTACCTCTTTATTATATAGGATTATTCTTTTTTTTTTAAAATATATTTTATTGATTTTTTACAGAGAGGAAGGGAGAGAGATAGAGAGTTAGAAACATCGATGAGAGAGAAACATCGATCAGCTGCCTCC